GGATTCGAACCCACACCCTCTGAGTTACTAGCACACAAAGTCAGCCGTCTAACAAACTCAGCCACAAAAATGGAAGTCGGACAACTGGTAGTCTAGACCACAGACTTTGTGTACCCCTCTGATAGAGTAAATTTCTGAGAAAGTGCAATCCCAAATATAACATGTTACAATTGACCACTTTCTAAATAGCATTGTGTAGTCATAGCTTTCAGCTATGGGAGCTGTGTAGACTAACTCTTAGTCTCTGAATATATATAATTTTGATAGTAACAAACAAGCCCATCTAAACTGAAAAGGAGCCCCAGGGAGACCGGAGATTCTGAGGAAATCTAGACTTGCTTCATTTAGGGCTTTAACACTGCAGATAGAGCTTGGCAGTAGGGAAAATGTGGTTCAGGGACTGTGAGACAGTCTAGGAGCCGTGTCAATTTCCACTTATCAGGAGGGTACACAAAGTCTGAGGTCTGGACTTTTAGTTGTACAACTTCCATTTATGTGGAAGCTGTTGTGGCCACTTTCTAAATGGCATTGTGTATTCATTCATTCGTGAAAATTCTGACTACCCTTTCCTCAAAGGGCTCAAAATAGGCACAGACCAGATGTAGGTTCTGATAGATCAGGGAAACCAAACAGTGTTGACTGGACAGCAGGTTATATATACTGACAACTGGAGTGACCAACTGGTCACACGGTCATCCCAAGATTCAATGTACAGGGCTGTTTGATTTCTAAAATGTTCTTACAGTTGTTCTGTGAGTTAGTGAGTATGGTTTTATGCCGCTTTTAGCAATATTCCAGCAATATCACAGCAGGGGACACCAGATTAATGGGCTTCACACATTGTACCCATGTGGGGAATCGAACCCGGGTCTTTGCTTTAACTACTAGGACAATCCACTGCCCCAGTTGTTCTGTGTGCTGACTACTATGCACTTGAATTAATATTAATTTAAGACATTTTCAAAAAAAGGTTTTCAGGGTTGATAATCATGTTTGCACCAGGCACACTAGCTGGATCACTTTAATGTATATATATGCATAGAAACGTCATCACTGCCCATATTTGGTCATATGTAAACAGTCAGACAAACCGGTTTGGAACAAATTTCAGTTTGCTCTATTTAACAAAAGACAAGTTTAATTTTTTTACACTATATGCAAATGAAATCTAGGCAAAACATGTAAAAATATCCCACTTATTCTTGGGATATTATTTATTAATATTTTTATCACACAACTCATCTTTCATCATAAATGGGCTTCAGACATTGTACCTATGTAGGGAATTGAACCCATGTCTTTGGCGTGATGAGCAACTGCTTTAACCATAAAGCTACCCTACATTAAAAAAATACTTATTCTCAGGATATTATTTATTGATACTTTTAACACCATCTTTCACCAACAATCTGTGGGATCTTTAAAGACATCGTATTTATGTATTGGCCTTTTACCGTGAAATCTAAGAGTTAAGCTTCAGCAGCATATCAGACATGTCAAGTTACAGTGACACAGACAGTTTTAAATTCAAAATGGCTAGTGAACAGGTGTATATGACATTGAATGTTGTGAATCAATATTAATGCACTAGAGAAAAAAGGAATCCTTTAACCAAACACCCAAAATCAATTTCACGGATTTAAGTTTAATCAATTTCCAGACATGGTCCATTTAATGTTAGCCAAACTTTTATTCGTGAAAACTATTGTTGAATGATGTAAAATTTTTGGTATATATTTTTCAAGATTTTAATGTTTTTGATGATACATATATTTCCAGCACTAATCTTTAATATCTTCATAAACATGTCTGTGTGTATCAATATAAATGGGGAAGGGGTTTGGTTCTGACATCTGAGGCACCAAAATTTGTCTATTTGAAACCTATGATCATGTGTTTGAATCCAAGGCATTATACATCAGGGGCCTGATCCACAAAGCATTCACAGCTTCACAAACTATCTGTTGTAACTCCACCGTCATATAGCTGGAATATTGCTGAGTGCGGCGTAAAACTAAACTCACTCTACTGTAACTCTATAGCGCTTAGGCCACATAAAAAAATATTCTTGTTTCTCTTCACTTTTCCCAAAAATATGGGTGGACCGGGCGGATTTAATGTTTTATATTTTATTTTATTGATATCTATGGAAATTTACACCTTTTCTCTGATAGAAAATCAAAACTTAGAAGTGTGAAAAATTCAAGCACATTTTGAAAGTCGCAAGTTGCATTTTCTCTGGTGTAAAAAATCAAAAGAATCTAAGGGTCGGGTGGTAATATTTTTAAATATGGCCTTACAAATGTCATAGTGAACGAGTGCTGTATGGGTCAGACCTCTCGGCTTGTGGGTTTCACCAAAGTGGATAATGGCTAAGACCTCCATCACTCTGGGGTTTCCTCACACATGAAGCTGATACTTTATATAACTGATGTCCTACGACATGATTTGCCTCACTAGGGTGGTGGGGTAGCCTAGTGGTTAAAGCGTTCGCTTGTCACACTGAAGACCCTGGTTTGATTCCCCACATGGGTACAATGTGTGAAGCCTGTTTCTGGTGTCCCCCGCTGTGATATTGTGATATTCACGAGAGTTTCAATGGTCATTTGATAAACTTTCAGGACAAAAGGGCAGGAACTCTAAAACCTGACCCAATTCAAGCACCCCTTTAGATGAGAGCGTTGTGATGAATGTGATTTAGATTTTAAAAACAAAATGTCACACTGTAACCACCCAATCTCGTTTTACTGGTTGTTGACAAATGCTTGGCATACTTGAAATCTATTATGTGTTGGATTTCCCATAATGAGAGTGAAATCATGGATTGCAATGATAGACACAATCAGATTGTTGTCTGCTTGTTTATTGTCCGCTTGTTTAGGTCTGCATCAGCAAAAACATAACTGGTATTGTAACTATCCCTGTCACCTGCACAACATCTGTTTCTTGTTAAATGCTTCAAATTATCATGTCTGGATCAGGTAACCCAGTGACTACTAACTGATGAGTTTGGTTTTATAACCATCCGCCCCTGGTAAACCCAGTGTGTCTTGTCTACTGCTGCAAATAATGTTGGATCAGATAAACCAGTGACTAATATTATAACCATCTGTGTCTTGTCTACTGCTGCCAATATTGTTGGATCAGGTAAACCAGTGACTAATATTAAACATCTGTGTCTTGTCTACTGCTGCAAATAATGTTGGATCAGATAAACCTGTGACTAATATTATAACCATCTGTGTCTTGTTTAATGCTGCAAATAATGTTGGATCAGGTAAACCAGTGACTAATATTATAACCATCTGTGTCTTGTCTACTGCTGCCAATATTGTTGGATCAGGTAAACCAGTGACTAATATTATAACCATCTGTGTCTTGTCTACTGCTGCAAATAATGTTGGATCAGGTAAACCAGTGACTAATATTATAACCATCTGTGTCTTGTCTACTGCTGCCAATATTGTTGGATCAGGTAAACCAGTGACTAATATTATAACCATCTGTGTCTTGTCTAATGCAGCAAATAATGTTGGATCAGATAAACCTGTGACTAATATTATAACCATCTGTGTCTTGTTTAATGCAGCAAATAATGTTGGATCAGATAAACCTGTGATTGATATGATAAGTATCCCTGTTGTCATATGTAATGATACGCAATCAGACAAGTCACCGAGTTATAACTTGTCCTTACACAAGTTGCTGGAGATCTAACTTGAAATTCCCACACCATGAAAGTAATGAAAACAACACAGCTGAAATCAGTGAGTGGAATTTTATTTCTGAAATGAGATTCTCATGCCAAGCATGTACTTCAGCTGTCAGGGTGTCGCTACCATTATAACAAAAAAAACCCGGGCTTACACATGATTGTTGCTGAAAGGTTGGGCAAGCCCTCAATACAGTCTAAATACGAACCTTTGCAACCATGGGCGGATCCAGGAATTTTGAAAAGGGTGGGGGTGGGTGTGTGTTCAGGGGTTAAACCCCTGAACCCCCTTGGCTCTGCCAACGCAACGCAAAAAATAATTCAATGTGGCCTTAAGTCATTTTCAAAGGGGGGTGGGGTGGGGTGTCGAACCCCCCTTGGATCCGCCACTGGCAACCCATCGGGCTTACACCAACAAAATGGCTTGAGCACTACGCGCCTGGCTGAATGACGTCGCGTATCATTCTTATCAAAAGTTGAGTAGCATATGAGCAATCTGATGGTGTATTCTAATCGCTGCAGACAAGAAGATTTACATAGTTGCAACAGTGAAACACACTCATGCCTAACCTCCATCAGGGGCGGATACAGCTTTTTAGAAAGCCGCAGTGAAGCATGGGTGGGGGGGGGGGGTGGGGGTTTGTGTGTGCACACTATTGAGAAAAGGAGGGATGCACACTTCATTTTTTCACTCGAGTTTCAATGGTCATTTAACAAACTTCAGCACAAAAGGGGGGTGTTCGCCCCCCATCTGGATCCGCCTATGTCCATTCTAAGAGTAGATGTTGTTGACAAGAAAAGTCACTGGTGCCTGAGCACTTTTTGTCACCTTACAACGAAGTGCCTTTGCTAAGCGCATTGCCACTGTTGTTGATCAGCTGAGTAACACTCGTAAAAATTCGGTCAGCTAAAGAGCTCCTCGCTCAAATTACTCAAGGGCTGGCATAATGGGATAAACTCAGTGCCCTCCTTCTCCTGTGGTAAACACTATTCATTGGGAAAGGGACACGGGCACTGAAAAACCGGTGGAAACTGGTTATTGCGTCTTATCACTTTGTATGACATTGCTGAATGTGTGCTAACCATTGAGAACATTGTCATACACAGGACCCGATCGGCATTCGATACTACGCTTATTTCACTTATAACTTGACGATACGAAAATATATGATATGATTTTATGACGCACTGTAAAGTTGTACGTCACAGAATTGTTATTCAGTGATGATTATGATAACATATTACACAAGTGTTACAATTGTGTGATAAATATTTAAAATATACTTACTTGTACACCCACGGCATTCAACATTGCTTCCTTTTCCGCCTCGACTGGTCCAATGTGGCGTTCGGCAAAAGTGTCATGTTTGGGGAATAGCTTGTCAAAATTTGTTGTATCTGATGAGTAGCTCTTTTGAATGGCGAGAATCACACCTCTGTTGTCAAAACTTGCTTGTTGTCGCGTAAATCTGGAAATGGCACTCACAACACGACCAGCTCGATACATCGTGCCAGAATCTAGCGCCGTTAGAAATCGTTTCGGTAGCTGAGCAAACTGGATACAATCTTTGACTGAAGGTTGGTGGTGTACGCGACAATCACGCTTGTAAGCAAATGGCCTTGACAGAGCATACGCGGATGTTTTGTTCCAAATTCCGGCCAATCAACACCCTCAATAGAGCTCTGCCCCTTTTGGTAATCCAAGGATGGTCTTACCGTCCATATTCGGAAAGGTTTGAATATTCATTAGCTGAGAACCGACAGGGAGCATATTTTATATATCATTTCCGAGACTTGTTTTTTTCTTATAGAAACACAGTGGCTACCAAAGTTAGAGTTTTTGCAACTGTATTTGACAGATATTTTAGTATTAAATTGTATTTACAGTTCAAAATTGTATTTTAGATGCTGCTAGCGTCATGTTGGCAACAAGTAAGTATTCAACCCCCTTGAGTTTTTATAGGCTCTTTACTACCACGTGCACTTGTTTACATTTCAAACCATTCAGTCTCCACTCGGTGAGTGTCCTATTATCTTGAGAGAAAAAACCCATTGCGATATTTGCGAGCGGCTTTATCCACGCAATTGATATGACTTTTAAAAAACCCCCATTAGTGCATGAACAGTTGTTGCCACTTCCATTACGACAATCACGCGGTAACCACGACTCGAGCACATTGCTTACCGGCTCTGAAGTGAGTGATCATTCTGTTAAAATAGTGAGCCGGTGCGCTGTGCTGAGACAACGACCGTCACTTACCAAATAAGGGATTTAGCAAATCTAGACACTACAAAGAAAACTGCAAGTGTAATTAAGGGCGAAAGTAATAAGTGAGGCTTCCGAAGTGAAATGTGTTGAAAAGGTTGTGGGTATTTTAATGTTAAGCAAACAGGAAAGGTCGACATTACAGGTGGCGATGTCTGTAATCAAATATTGTTTTCATATCAATACACGCAAATCCAAAATCATTGATAGTTGAAAGCACAACTAATTCTTTGCCATTCCTCTATTGATAATATAAAGCAAAGTTCATAGGCCGATCCAGAGGGGATGGGGTGTGTGGGTGAGGTGAGGTGAAATATGACGACGTGCATGCGTGTGTATGTGTATGTGTGGCTGCTTGTACTAGCCCAGACTTAAGCTGGTTTTATAGTGCTAGCCCACTGAGAAACCATGCCGCAGTGAAGCATGAATACCCCACTCAGACACAGTCTACTGACTCAGAGCTGACCAGTCCTTGTTGTACCTATTAATGCCGAGCGCCAGGCAGGGACCAACAAGTACCATATTTTAACGTCTTTTGGTATGACGCGGTCGGGGATCGAACCCGCGACCTTCCGCTCTCCGGGCGGACGCTCTAACCACTACACCACGGAGGCGGTGGGTGTGTGGGATAGGTGTGTGCACCCCACACAGCCCTTTTGTCCTGAACGTTTATCAAATGACCATTGAAACTCTCGTGAAAACGGAGTGAAAATGAACTGTATCCGCCCCTGAGTGTGTGAGTGAGTTTGGCTTTACGCCACCTTTAGCAATATTCCAGCAACATCACGACGGGAGATACCAGAAATGGGCTTCACACATTGTACCCATGTGGGGAATCGAACCCCGGCTTTCGGTGTCACGAGCGAACGCTTTAACCACTAGGCCACCCCACCGCCCCCGCCCCTTAGGTTGTTGCACATCACCAATGAGACAGTTCGTACCTTTTCCTTCAACTTTTTTGTTTTTTCCATCTCTCTTGAATTTTCATTCCAATGTGAAATATTAAAAAGTTTTCGCATCTACATTTCCCCCACCGGTTTGGACATGTATTCCCTAATGTGATAAAAACACTTAAAAAAACAACAACAGCAAACCAACCAAACAAAACCCAGTTCAGGTCAGCTTGACTTTTCTTCATCTATGTATATTAAAAGATTATTTCCGAAGCAAAGTGAGTTAATTTAAAGCTAAGTGATGTACATTTTAAAAAGCATAACATAAATAACACATTTAGTAAGAACAATTTTGTTGACAATCTTTTTATTCGTACACCGCTCTCTTGCTGGTTGAGGTTGGAACAGAGAAACACTCAACATTCGGAAGGCCTGGCGCAAAGGATTTACATGTATACGGACCCATTCGGAGACAGTGCGTGAGTGAGTTACGCCGCTGTTAGCAATATTCCAGCAATATCACGGCGGGGTAACACCAGAAATGGGCTTCACACATTGTACCCATGTGCGGAATCGAACCCGGGTCTTCGGAGTGACGAGCGAACGCTTTAACCACTGGGCTACCCCACCGCCCCCATATTTGGAGACAGGGCAAAACTAATATACAACGTAAGATATATAAAACAAAATGCTTTTTCTTTATCGTGTTTTGTCATTGCCATGCACACTTGCGGTGAGGTAAAATGAGGTTGGACGTCGCGTTCACGATAATTTCACTTATGATACGCGCATGCACGTATGTATGTGTGATCGTTGCTGTTTGTACTCATCTTGAATTCTGTTGGTTTATATCTGCTGGTTTATACCGCTACAGCCCCCTGAGATACCACACTGCGCTTTAACATAGCACCGTATCTAAGACACATATACGGACCAGTATCCCATAATGCCAAGCGCTAGGCAGTGTAACAACAAGTACCATATGTTAACGTAGTTTTGGTATGACGCAGACAAGATGTGTCACCGACCTCCCCTTAAAGGGTAGACCCTCTAAGCCATGGAGGCGGTAACATTGGCAGAACCGTTACTGCATGTGCTTTGTATTTCTAAAGAAAACGTGCAAATCTCTTTACTTCCATATAGCCACCGACCTTCATGAGGATTGAGGAGAAAGTCCGAATTAATATTTGCTCCCGAGGTGGAGAGTCCATCAAATCACCTGTTTAACTTTAAGTGGCATTTAGAAGCTGGTATGATGAAGAGGGACACTTTTTATGGCTAGACAACTTCTTTATTGTAAAAGATGCGACGTTTCGGTGTTCTAACACCGTTATAAAGGTCCTATCACTTGCTTGATAACGATGTTTGTATCAACACCGAAACGTGCATCTACTGCAATAAAGTTGTCTAGCCATAAAAAGTGTTCCTCCTCAAATCAGACGTTGTCATTGTAATTTGAAAACCTTCGACTGACTAGTCATGACTAAGTCACGTAACAATATGTAATTTATCAATCCGCAAGGTGCGTTGCTCATCTTTTGGTTCAGACCTCGGTGTAGCCGACATCCTTGTTGGGTGAAGTTGAAAGATTTCTTTGTCACTGTTTGGGCCTAAAATATTTTCGCGGCTGACAGTTTCAACTTTTTCAGATTTCGCATAATTACCTTTCTTCAAATGATGCTGGTTTTGTTAATCTTTGCGTCTACATAATCGTTATCTACACATTCCAGCGTGTCACCCAGCTGTTGATTTCATCGGTTCGAGCACCTGCACCAAAGTAAAGAATTCGCAATCCTGTCAAATTCAAACGCTACTTATGGCATTAAAATGGAGAGAAACATAGGATCTACTTCATGGGTTAGTATTCTTTGGACAGGTCAGTTCACGTGTGTACTCCATATTTGTAGATCACTTCCGACCCGTGAAGATCCGGGTAAGAATTGATCTTCAGTAACCCATGCTTGTCTTAAGAGGCGACAAACGGGATCGGGTGGTCAGGCTCGCCGACTTGGCCGACGCATGTCATCGGTTCCCAATCGCGTAGATCGATGCTCACGCTGTTGATCACTGGATTGTCTGGTCCAGCCTCGATTCTCTACAGACCGCCGCCATGTTGTTGGAATATTGCTGCGGCGTATAACTAAACTCACTCACTCACTGTAGATCACTTCCGTGTTTTGGTTGGTTTGTGTGTGGACCACGACGTGGAAAAATGCGATTCGGGATGGAGAGTGAGTGAGTTTAGTTTTACGCCACTTCTAGCAATATTCCAGCAATCTCACGGCGGGGGACACCAGAAAGGGGCTTCACACATTGTACACATGTGGACAATCGAACCAGGGTCTTCGGCGAGACGAGCGAACGCTTTAACCACTATAGGCTACACCACCACCCATCGGGATGGAGACCAAATATATGTAGGAAGTAAATCACAAAAATGAATCTCTTCAATTGGCAGTTTTACTGCGTGAATACGTGATGTTTTGAAACCGTACTTTTACATTTTTCCTCTGTCTAGTTTATTCAGTATACGTTATCAATTTCGGAAAACTCCCTGGACGTTGTTTATTTCTGTTTACATGGTGTGACTAAGGATTTATTGCCGTGTTATGTTAAACCAGAGACCATATACCGATATGGTCTCTGGTAAAACATACACGCACAATGTGATTTTTTACAATCAGTACTGGAAGTGTACCTCTAACGTTGCAACTTGCCATCTGGGTTTAAATAATTTTCAGTACAGTAGCAGTTTCAAGCAAGGAAAGGCTGTTTACAGTGGGCAAATATGGGTTTACTACAGACGGATGTTACTTAACGTAACCTGTTCTTACAGTTCAGGGTGCCGTTCCACTAACCGATCTGATCTAAGATCAATCTTAGCAAGTTACGCCAATTTTACAATCGCCTTAGCTAAAAGTTACACCCGTTCCACTAACCGATCTTAGGCCGATCGTAGCCGGTCCCGATCTTACGATCCGATCCAAGCTTAGATCGAGACTCTTTCGTGCGAGAGATAGAGGAATGCGAGGCACGCGTTATCTCCCTTTGCATAGTCTAGCAAATGATAGAAAGTAGTTTACGAACCAACTGAGTGAGTGAGTGAGTTTAGATTTACGCCGCACTCAGCAATAGTCCAGCTATATGGCGGCGGTCTGTAAATAATCTAGCTAAGATGCATAGCGTTCACTAACATGAGCGTTCATGTTAGTGAACGCTATGTATCTTAGCTATAAATAATCGAGTCTGGACCAGACAATCCAGTGATCAACAGCATGAGGATCGATCTGCGCAGTTGGGAACCGATGACATGTGTCAACCAAGTCAGCGAGCCTGACCACCCGATCCCGTTAGTGGCCTCTTACGACAGGCATGGGTTATTGAAGTTCAATATTCTAACCTGGGTCCTTCATGGGTATTTTTCCAACCAAGTGTAAACGTGGAGAAAAAACCTAGAGCAAAATATTAGG